TACAATGTGATTTTTCCAGATCAAATCAGCTGTTTTGCGACATTGCCAATTCTTGCATCACTAATTTTCTCTGCCACAATAATCATGCTGTGTAATAAAATAGTATAAATATATCTTATTAAATAATTCTATCATTAAAAGATAAGTACTCTATAACTGAGTGGTTCGTAAAAAAAACTACTGACAAGGGGAACACCAGACATTGTCTCCTTCGATTTCGCTGACTCTGACGTATATTATAGTTCTATCCTTTCATTAATTCATGGTAAAATAATACGACCCAACTCTCAAGCATTCGCGAAAAAAAACTTTAAAAATTTACATGGGTTTAAAAATATGCATGGCCTTTATGTACCGAACTGTAAGTACAGTTTGGCAGCTAAGCAGTGTGGCTTGGTGGTTAAGACGCGGCTACTATTGCGTATTGCTGGTTACTTTTTGAAACTTTTTTTTTTAATCTGCATTGAAGCGAATTATTATGTTATTTATTTTTATTACATTGTCTCTCAAGGCGTATTTGCACACTCAAGCGAATAATTGTACATGAGCGCTGCAAACGCGCCTTGAGGGACAAAATCGCTTTGCGTGTGTGCGTACGAGCATACGTACGTGAGAGTCTAAAACTTATGATTATTATGATAATGATGAAGAACAAAAAATGTCACAATTCTGATATACGATCATCATTTCTCGGGATTGACTGTACCAATCTTATTCGAACCGGTCGCAATCGGAAGCATATATTCACATTATATAATAAAAGTGCCGTTAGATTTTTTAAAATCGAAAGTTTACTAGACTTAAAATTCCGAATAAGCTACTTGGTAGCGTCGCAGCCCCTGTACAGAGGCAAACCGTTGACAAGCTGACACGAATTTTTATATATACTTGGCGTCGGGGCGCTACCGCGTCGCTTGATACGCGTATATGCATGTATCTTTACAAAAACTTCATGAAGTGACTCCTATAATTAACAATTTCTTAAATATCCTAAAATCAAAGTTAGCATATTTTATATGTATTATAAGAGTATAAACTAAATTACACTTGCAAAGTACTTAATTTTACAATTAACAACTAGATTAAATAAATTATAAATTGCTTACCCCACGGTTGCTACACCGGATGTCTTCCCGGGCTTTCTTCTTCTCTTTTTCTCTTATTCATCCTTGTTCGTGTGACACACAATATTCACTCACAAAAACACGATTAATTCGCGTGATACTTTGCACGACACTTCTGATTACTTTATTTTATTATGACGGAAGAAAAAAAGAAGCGAAAACGTGACGGCTGCCTGAAATTGCGCAACCGAATCGAATATTTCCTATAAATTTATTTTGCGGTAAATATTTCGTAACGACAACGAATTAAATTCTCTATGGATATATTTACAAATGAAACCTTATCAATTACGCGAGTTGATAATCACTAATTATATTAATTTTAAATAACTTTTGCGCTTGGTATCTTTTAGTATTTGTCGCGTAATCGTATAAAAAAATATAATAGAAAACTAAATTTAAAAGAATTCATACAAAAATTAAAAATTTATACAAAAAATTGAAATCTTTTAGTACTTGTCGCGTAATCTTATATTTAGAGAGATATTGAAACTACAATACACATTAGCGGTTCGGACGCTGCTATCTTCCTGCTCGAGACTCACCGTGCAAATGACAAGGTTACGGCGAGTCTCGTGGGCAAATGTAAACAATAGCACATTCCACAGCATCGTGGAAGCTATTGTTTATATTTGATATACATGTGCGAGAGAGAGACTCGTCGTGGCCTTGTTCGTGCTGTCATTCTCGAGCAGGAAGATAGCAATCCGAACCACTACGTATGTCATCGTTTCAATATCTTTCTAAATACAATTGCAATTAGTACTACTAGGAGATGTCAAGTGTGCGATCGTTTCTTAAAATTAAAACAATTAGAGATTATCAACTCACATGATTTATTAATTCCCGTTATATAATTTGCTCACATTCATCTCGAATCGAGAGCACGAAGTAATGCATTAAATATAATTTAAGTAAAATGGAAAATTGTGATATATTATTTATATAATAATATCTTTATTTTGCGCAATTTATATGTACGAAATATATCACGTGTACCGAGTTTTGATTGTATATTTTCAGATAATCTAACGCATCTTGATTAACAATTAATTTGAGTCGCAACTTGAGCTGTATCACAAAATATTAGAGCAAAATTATTGATATCGTTTTACATTTATACATTGTGTTTAATTATTAAGCACAGTCGTTATTAATTATATAATATTGAGCGATTTATATAATTTTCGAATTATTCTTTTGAAAATATAATAAAGTGCGCATCGCGTGCAATTAACGCGTCAGGAGTGCCGTGCAAAGTATCGCGCAATTGTCGTATTCTATCGATTAATGCACGCGTAACGGTAATAATTAATTATATTTTAGCAAGTGTATACCATAAAAGCATCGGGCCACAACAACCGGGTGGTAAGTAATTTAGAATTTGTTTAATTTATTTTTAAAAATAATTGCTTTTGTTTATCTTCGCCATAGGAATTTATTTTATATCATTGTATAATGTACATAACATATTGCAGATTCCTTATTCATGATTATATATATATTTAGAATCTTTTATTTTTCATACAGTTAATAATTACGTTAAATATAACGATACTATAATAATATTTTAGTAAATTAAATTTTGATAAAATATCAATTTTTGATGAAAGGCTCTTAAAGTCTAATTAATTGAATATAAATGTATTTAAAGTTATCACATAGAATAAAGAAAAACAAAACCGATTTAAAATATCCATTAGCAATAGCCAATAAAAGTAACACAAGTTTCTTACCGTGTTCGGACAGACTTGATTCTACAGCTGTAAGAACGCCTCGTTATTGCCGAACAAATCGATCAGGAATGCTGGTTGTTGCATAATTGCGTGCAATAATGTAGTAACTAACGGTCGATATATATATATATATATATATGTATCCTGTTAGAGCAACAGTACAAAGCAATGGCGGGACGGAGATAAATAAATACCTATTAAATGAGACGACAAATATACAGAGTGTCCCAGAATTAGATCGACAAACTTCAGGTGGTTATGAAGGACCAAGAGAAGCCAATTTGGCCAATAAACCCGTGTCCACAAATGAGCCGTTTTGACACTAGAGAATCGAAGACTAACCTCGCGAACTCAAAAATTCTAATTTTGATGAAACTTCACATATATGTAGGGGAGGGGGTAAATAGATGAATTTAGAAATTTCCAGTTGCAGCCCAAAAACTTGAAAATTATTTGAGATATTAAAAAATGTTTTATACAAAAGTTTCATGGTAAAAACACCTCTATCTAACCACATTAATGAAATTTTGAAAAAATGATTTTTTTTTCAAAGATTTTTGCCCTAGTTAATCTTTGATTCTCTAGTGCCAAAACGACTTATTTGCGGACACGGATTTATCGATAAAATTGGCTTGTTTTGCCTTTTGTAACTACCTGAAGTTTGTCGGTCTAATTCTGGGACACCCTATACTCGAAAATAAGACAGTTTTCGTACAAGCGCTTTTATCGCCGTACCAAAAATGTAAGATTCTCATGAAAATAATGTACTCGCCACGTCAAGTTTTTGTTTTGTCTCAACGATTTTGATCTGGTTCGCTAATGTACGTGCTTAGAAAGAATAGTTTCGTGCAGCTTCAGTAGTTATACGTGGCTGGATGTCACGCTATAATTAAGTAAATGAAGTGTAATGATGACAAGGCAAGCTACATCAGGACTTTATGCAACTCTCTGCTAACGTTATTGCCAACCTTATATATCCTTTCAACGTTTACTGCATGAATATTGATTCTTGTTGGCTTTATAAATTTCACCGTGAACGCTTTTATACAGAAATAATTATAAAGCTAATGTTTAAAACATTGGAAAAAATAAATCTTCTAACAAGATATATCGAAAAGATAAACAAAAAAACATTATACGTTAAGTTATGTATTAATTAATTAATATAACTTTAAATAAAAATATATATATATATTAATAAGTAAGAATATAATTCTAAGAAAATCATATATAGATATTTAATAAAGTTGAGTGAGATAATTTTGTCTTTTGATAGAGTCATTACGTGGATTATAACTATGCTGGATTTTCAAATAATTGAAGAGATTGTAAATATATAAATAAAATATTAATAATATTGATCGCAAAATAACAACGCTAAAAATTTTTATCCCATTTTAAAATAAACATTTAAAAAATATAACAATTAGTCTTACGTACACAAGAACAAATTTATTAACTAAACTATGTGTATACGTACAGCAAGAACAATTCTTTCAAAATACTGGCATTACTTGGTTTAAAAAGTATGTTATAATGCTAGAAACTAGCGAAGGGAAAAAGTGAATTAAAATTCTATAAGGTTACAATAGAATTTCATGTCTAATCTCGATCTCAGGTAAACGAAGTATTATCGATCCTCTACTTTAAGCGCGCAAAAATATCCATAGCCATATCCACCTTAACTAGATTCTTGCAAATTCGCGTGATAGAGCTCGGTAAACACTTTAACACCCATGGCGTGCACCTCCTCGAATCCGAATTTCTCCAGACTCTCCTTGCAACGATCGTAATACGCGGCGACGTTATCGTAAGGGCCGATGTCAAAGTCGAAACACTGCAATCGTAAAAATAGTCACAGCACTCTATTTATTTAAGTTCGATAAAGTCATTCCTCTCGCGAAGAGGCTCACCAATATCAAACATATAGTTGTACTAATAGTGAAATCGGCGATAGTCAAGTTTTCGCCGGCCGCGAATTCTTTACCCTCGAGGAGAAGATTGAGCACCTCGAATGATTTCTTAACTTTTTCCAGATCTGCCTCCTCAATGGAAGAAGCCTGGCCTCGAACCACTGGTATCTAAATAATAATAATTTTGTTTATCGAACTGAATGTATTGACACAGAAATATTATTACAATATCAAGAGGAATAATTATTTCAATACGCAGCGATACAGAGTCTTCCGGAAATAGAATATTTTCTTAATTGATGAAAATTAGATTAATGTAGTTAGGTGTAAATTAACAGAAGCAGGGAAAATTGGTTTCAAAATTTATGACTATAGCAATATATGTATAAATGTATATAATCAGTGGTTGTAAGATATAAAAAATATTTTAATCATAATATTAATTAAAAGAAAATTAAGCAACGGATAGATCAATACATACGTAACATATGATTAAATTGGAATAGAGACTGCCAGCATCGAAATACATCATCTGATCGACTATTGCCTTTTGTTTTGGATCTTTTGGATAAAGAGAGTCATTTTTCGCATATTTGTTAACCAAATATGCCATAATGGGACGACTATAACAATACACATGTTAGGTAGGGTTTAATCATAGAAAAGCGTGAATCTCACATATAAAGATTAAAAGAGTAGTAAAAACATAAACTTTGGGTAAAATCTCGATAAAAAAACTGTTTTTTACTTCCTCAAAAATAGGTTTTTTTAATTCCATTAATTACTCAGAATGTCCATTTTTTAAAATTTATAGCAAAAATTTAATTTTGATGCTTATTTATTAACCTTTGATGTACGGTTTTAAAAAATGAGCATCAAATTTACTAAAATTAGGTATCAGATTTTATGTCCTATGTTATTCTCACTTCTGGTTTACAAAATAACAAAACTATGCTTGAGAAAGTTTTCTGTTAACTTTGATAAAACTTTAAAAATAAAGAACATCAAAAAATACCATTGAATTCTAAAAATCAAAATTAACCTGTTTTAAAATATTCGAACTCAATTGATTAAACAAATGCGAAGTAGTAATCAGCTCAGCCACATCCATTGAAATTGATTACTGACCCAGTAAACAAAATTGATTAAATTCCCATACCATCTTTTGTTCGAAGAAAACTGGCACTATCTTTCAAAATTACCAAAAAAAACAGTTTTTTTTTTAAATACCGTTTTTTTACTTTGTTTCTCCCCCCATTTTTAGAAAACTCGTTTTTTTTATCTCTGCTCTCATACCTTTCCCACAGAATAAAGCCGTTATCGTCGATGGTTGGTATCACATGCTGCGGATTTATCTAAAATATAATTATGCTTTATAATTTTGTTCTAAATATCTTTTTACAAATTATCGATTACGCAATTTGAATCTTACTTATTTATTTGTATTAATAATTAATAAATTTACGCGCAAAGACAGAAACAACTAAAGAACCTGTACAAATTCCGGATTCATATGCTCTCCGTTCATGACATTCACGATTTTAATGTTAAAATGAATGCCCAGAGCCTTTGCAAGTAGCATAACGGTACGACAGGGTGGACTTGGCGGCAAATAATAACAATCAATCGGCATTTCGTCTCGCTTTCTTGCTTCTCACTAAAAAACCACCTGCTTTCGTTATTCCCTTCGTGTCTTCCCGCGCGTTCCTCTGCCTTTGATTTGCGAGTCTCTCGTTTTGAATATTACTATATAAATAAAATTTTTATATTGCAACTCTCTAATAACAAACTTTTAAATTTAGAGATTAGTGTAATTTAAAATTCTAAATAAAAATTATTGAAACCCATATATACATTTATTTTTAAATTAAACACACTGATAGAGAGCAAAGAGTATTTTCAATGCGTAAATAATATGAATATCCACATTTCGTGAAAACATAAATGATCGTTCTAATTATGGTTGATGTAGTAATTCCGTTAATTAGTGCGTCGTTAAATGGCTTTTAGATGTAACCCTTACCTGCAACCCTTCACAAACTCGATTGATTGGTACAAATCGATGATACTTGCAACCGTTGCGCATCAAGCTAATTAATTGGCTTATCGTTTGCTCGGGTCGTTGCACTATCGTCGTAGAAATATATTGCTCATCGCTTCTTCTAGTGGCGAATAGTTTTTTTATGGAAAACGGCAGGTATACGTAAAAGAAAAGAAAATGCGCGCGCGCAAACGTTTGCAAAGTTGCCATAGCAATAGCGTACTGCCAAACAAAACCGCGAAACTTCAACGTTGACATTATCCGTTACGATCGAAAGTTCCCAGTAAAGTCGATCGATCGCTTAATAAAAACAGGAAGAACGCCCAGTGAATGTAACTTGCTGTACACTGACATAACAGTTATAAATAGAGCAGCAGAAAATGTATATATCAAGGTGTACATTTTTTTCTGTTCTCGATTAATAACGTTAGCAATTGTTTCAGAAGATATCAAAAATTTTCAAGCATTCTGCTTGAAATTTTAATATATATTTTTTATTCATTTTATGTACAATTCTTTCAAATTAAAACAAATTTCATAGATATATTTAACCGTAAATATCTTATATTAATTGTAGTCAACTTAACAAATTTTTTTTTAAAGTTGAAAGTTCTCATGATTAATCATATGTATTTCGTTTCGATTGTAATAAAAATTTTTTAATATACTGTAACTATACAGAGTGTTCTAGGTCAGATCAATGAAACTTCAGGGATTTATATACTGCGTTCACTCGAAAGAAATGTCATAATATTGAAAGCTTGAGTTGTTCTCTGTTAATCGAATTTTATTACTCTTTTTAATTAAATCGCGATATATCTATTATATTTATTTTCTCTTTTTGCAATCTAAAAATTATTAATAAAATTTAATACTTTTATAAATAAATAAGGTCCCCTCTGTCGGCTAGCCGGATCTGCAAGCTGCAAGACCAATTTTGGCAGCGTGGAAGGGGCAAAATGGGCGGTTGGTCGGGCGGGATCTGACCGAACCGGACGAAAAGCGAGGTCGTTCTCTCCATGAACGTAATATTGGAAATTGAATTCGGAACAAAAAAGTTCCTATAAATATAGGTCCGGAAACGCTTCGTTAAAAAGTTATAGCTGATAAACTCTCTGTAAGTAATCAGTTATGATTAAAATTTAATAAGAATATTTTTATGTTTGCATTTGCAATGTTTGTACTACAAATGTAGTGTTTACACGATTTTTTTTCAAGTTTCTGTTTTTTTCGTTGTTTTGAGCTTTTTTTCTTTTGAACGCTTATCAGAATTAAATGAAATTAGTGTAAGTTAGTTTGTTATTTAATTACCCATCAGATTTATTTCGTTACTTTTTTCGAATAAACGAAAGATTTTGAGGTTATTTTTAAAATCATCAAAAAAAACAAAACGTGATTTTTCGAAGTTTATTAGCTATAACTTTTTAACAAAGCATTTCCAGATCTATTTTTATGGGATTTTTTTTGTTCCAAATTCAATTTTCTATAAGACCCTGAAATTTCATTAACCTGATCTGGAACACCCTGTATATAATATGAAACACAAAAAATATATTAAAATTGTCCTTTCTTATAACTCTAACTACAAATTTTTCAAAATTGTGACATGATGAAGCAATTTAGAAACCAGAATCATATTTAGTAAATATATATATAAGATTAATCTTGTCTGAAAAAATTTGTTTTTTGTTGTAAACTGTGTAATATACCTTCGATTTTATCGCCACTTAAGTATGTTGTAGGGGAGATTCTTTTGAGTAATTCTCCGCAAGAAACTGAGGGATGGCATTGGTTTAGAAGATATAATAAATTAAAGTTTGACATTAAAGTATGTGTATGCTGTATAATTTGTTATTTTTTCACTGAGAAAAACTGTTTATAACATTCACGCGTGGGCGAGGGAGGGGTTTGGCCTTTCCCCCTACACCCCTATCCCGAAAAAATTTTAACTTAACCCAAACCTATTTTCAGTTTTAAAAGTAAAGTTGGTTTGAATTAGGTTAGATTTTTTTGGAGTGCAGGGGGAGGGGCTCCGTCCCTCACCATCCCTCCCCATGCCGACGCATTCAATAAAAAATATTTTTCGAGACAAGGCTCACAAATTCGTGTAGTTGCATGTTGAAAGCTGATAACGAACTGCGAGAAATAGGTGAAACACATTATTGACAAAATATCCATAGCCGTGTACCTATCCCGTAAATGTAAACAAACACTTTATCCACGTCTGCTCTACAACAAATATAATGTACACAAACTTCACTTTTCCTAATATTACTTTATAATACCTGAGAGAAAGCATTAAAACTGTGAAACTTTAATTTGTTATATCTCCTAAACAAATGCCTTCCCACTTATTTCTTACGAGGAATTACTTAGAAGAATCTTCCCTACAACATATTTAAGTGGCGATAAAATGGGAGGTGTATTACCTTTTATGCAGTTTTACCTTAACAAGATATAAAATAACTCCTGTGCGAGCAATTGATAATCAATTTTTGCTCGTCCAAGATTTCACAGTTATACTCAGCGATTTCGTTTCGTGGGTCGGCAATTATGTCGGGTATTATATTGACCATTAAAATGGGTTCCTTAATTTTCCGGCGTGAAAGTGGTGATTCCGGTGCAACGCGGCCGGCGCTTTTACGACGTCCCGTTAACGACGTATTCTCGTAATTTTCACGATTTTGTTTGCACCGTTCCATTCGTCTCAATAAATTTCTTTCGTTACCGCCGTCACCTGGGATAGGGGCGGTCTTTGACCTCGTTTTTTGGACAAACGCGATACGCCATGACAATATAATTCTAATTAGCCTTAGAGGTGCGCTCTCACGTTCGCGAGATGAATGGGAAGATCCTGTATAACGCTGTCGTTGCGTGCCAATTCGATATAACGCGCATACGCAGACGCTGCTAATTGCTTCGGTTTAGTTCCGCTCTATTGACCGACATGAAAGAAGCCGGGACTCGATCAGGCCATACATGGACGCATAATCAACTGTATTCTCAGCAACCGGATGTAACCAGCCGACGGTACACTTTTGTAGTCGATAGCGAGTAATTCAAGTTGGACGAATAAATTTGTTGAAAATAATTTAACGATGCAACAAAAAAAAAAAACGTATATGCAATGATTTGTTATTCAAATTTAGAATAATAATTAGTCGACGATATATAAAACCAAATTTCTATGATTCGACACGTATGCTATCATGTATGCATCGTCGGATAATAGAAATGCCTAGAAAAAATCATACGCTTCTAAAAGGTAGTCGAAAATATTTTTTTTTATTCTATGCGTGTCCCAAATCTTTATGATTTTGGTACAGAAGAAACGTCGTTAAACTCACGCACGCGAAAATTACATTCGATGCGCATGATAGAGGCTATCCACTGTCGATAACGCCGTGGAATGGATTCCAAAGGGCGAAGCTGGTTCTTCATTCGCTTGGCTGTTATCGCAGCGAGCGTCGGGCGTGTCTGTGGTGCGATTATCGATTAGCCCCGGCAAATCCACTGAGATGGAAAATGAAATAGCCGCGCTCGCGCCCGGCTCATCGACGGCGTCAGGGAAATGCGTGATCTATCAACCCTATCGGTGTTGCGTTCATTCCGTTGTATATACGTCGGATCGCGCGAAACGCTGGTAATATACATGGACGCATAATCAACTGTATTCTCAGCAACCGGATGTAACCAGCCGACGGTACACTTTTGTAGTCGATAGCGAGTAATTCAAGTTGGACGAATAAATTTGTTGAAAATAATTTAACGATGCAACAAAAAAAAAAAACGTATATGCAATGATTTGTTATTCAAATTTAGAATAATAATTAGTCGACGATATATAAAACCAAATTTCTATGATTCGACACGTATGCTATCATGTATGCATCGTCGGATAATAGAAATGCCTAGAAAAAATCATACGCTTCTAAAAGGTAGTCGAAAATATTTTTTTTTATTCTATGCGTGTCCCAAATCTTTATGATTTTGGTACAGAAGAAACGTCGTTAAACTCACGCACGCGAAAATTACATTCGATGCGCATGATAGAGGCTATCCACTGTCGATAACGCCGTGGAATGGATTCCAAAGGGCGAAGCTGGTTCTTCATTCGCTTGGCTGTTATCGCAGCGAGCGTCGGGCGTGTCTGTGGTGCGATTATCGATTAGCCCCGGCAAATCCACTGAGATGGAAAATGAAATAGCCGCGCTCGCGCCCGGCTCATCGACGGCGTCAGGGAAATGCGTGATCTATCAACCCTATCGGTGTTGCGTTCATTCCGTTGTATATACGTCGGATCGCGCGAAACGCTGGTAATGTGTTTTAATAATGAGAACATAATGTGTGTGCAAAATGCGCGCCGGGCTCGCTGATACGTACACTCATAATCGAACGTCCGGATTGGTGTAGTACGTTTTATTGGGATTATTAACGCATATAAACTCACGCATACACGCACACACACGCGCGCGAACGGAAAACGTTGGCCGCTCGTTTCGCGTCCGGTCAATACAACCGCCATATCGGAAAATCCGATACTTTTGTTTACGGCATGCTTGAAATATTAAATGAACACTGGAGAAACGCGCAATAATTATCATCGCGCGACACTAAAGCGCTTGTAGTATCGAGCGCGCGTACGTTTATTTAAATTATCCTCTTATAGCGCGAATAATGCGAGAACTTGGCATAGTCATAGCTGCCAATATTATCCGCGTGCGTGAATATCAAATTTTGAGCTCGTCGAAAATGATCGAGCAATTAGGTCAAAAATTATCGCTGCCTGTGGATTAACGAGCATTTCGACATTGATACATCGATATTGGATTAATCGTCCGTGTGCTCGCTAAATAAAAGATAAAATTCTATATTATGCTCTCTGATTTTCTCGACGTGCGCTTTTATCAACGATTTCATTTGTTGTTCGACGTTGATTCTACAACGCGACGAATAATTATAACGCCGCTCGCGAAATGACATCGAATGCAATGTTGCTGAGAGAATTTGATTTCACGAACGAAGAAATACGATTCCTTTATGTGCCATCTTTCCTTCCCTCGACGTTCCAGACGCGAACTCGGCCAACGAAGTCAAAGTCACTTGCATCAAAAGTAGCAAAAGGATGTTCAAACGTCCGTCGTTCGGTAGAGGAAACCCCTGCCTCCCCCCTTTCTCGATACCCAATGGCATCGCGATAGGTGAAAGATCAAAGCTTCAGACTGCGAATATGTGTGCTGGGAGGTGCGTATTACGACAGGAGCGCCGCTTTATACCATTCCAAATCGTTCCGCCGTTGTCACTCGGGAAGTAGCAAAGATGTTACCAGTTCCAACGAGTTGCAAGGAGTTACGCGAACTGCTCCGTGTTAGTTCCCGTTCGCTTTCTCGCTACGTCGTCAGGGGAATCGGTTGTTACGTGACGCGATTCCTATGCTGGAATCGTGTGGTCGGCGTTATGTCAAACTAAAAATAGGGTTTTACGGATATACGGATTATTTAATCTAATATAATTTTCCCGCAAATCGCGAAATTATTAGAGAACCTTAATCAAATCTTTATACAGGGTAATTCTAAATAAGTGCAAAAAATTTTAGGAGATGATTTTTTGTCCAAAATTAAGGAGGGTCTTTTATATAAACATATACTCCTATATTCCACCCTAAGGAATTACATTTCTCTAAAGGGAGAGGTAAACATTACGTTTTTACTTTTTTCCAAATTTTAGGCGTTAAGAAAAGGAAATTTGGTGGGCATTTTCCACTAGTAAAAAAGATACTTATTAATATTTTTTTTCAATCCTTCCATATCGTTATAAGGGAATGGAACTAGCAACCTTTATTCAATTTTTTATTAGAATTTTTTAATGGGCCGGAATGTGATCATCTAAAAATATGCGTTAGAAATGATTGATTCCTTTAAAAATGTTTTTATTTCTTTTATTTTTTTCGTAAAATTAATAGTTTTAAAGAAAAAAAATAAAATACCTTATCATGCACAGCATGGTGCTAAATAGCATAAATTTCGAGTTATGAAAAGTTGAATTTTAGAATAAAAATAGCAAACAAAACCAAATTATAATAAATGTTGGAAAAAAATGGAACTAAAACAACACAAAATTATAATAAATGTATGCAGTTAAACTGCTCCCCCTTTGGAGGAATGTAACTCCTCAGGAAGGAATATAGGAATATATGTTTATATGAAAGACCTCCATTAATTTTTGACAAAGAATCATATTCTAAAATTTATCGCATTTATTTAGAATCACTCTGTATAAATATAAACAAATGGAATATTATTAGAATTAAATTCTATATTTATTATACGAGAGACGCTAGTTTCGTTCTATTTATCATCCCAAAAGTTTGTCAGTACGATCTTCTCGCATCTTGTGAAAGTGGAATGAGGATGTATACGGATCAATGGTCATAATTGGAGAATTACCCTTCGACATGAAAATGCAAACGTCATAGTTAGTCGACGAGACATTACTTTGAGAAACTAGAGCTCTTGGAAATAATTTTCGACCGGTAAGGAAACTTTACGGACTCGCGAAAGTTATTTCATACTACTTTGATGCAGCGTTGCACTCTCCCGCTCGGCGATGCCCCTAGCACGGGCTATACAAAGACACTTGAGTTTCGAAGTTGGTAGATTACAACAAACTTCTCCCGCAATATGTAACTTATAGAATTTACAGATATACCTCGACGGAAACGGTCGAGAACCATTAACCGCCAGCCGACATGTTTCTTACATCTGGATATTCATTTACTACATATATAAGCCTAATTAAGGCTAATATCAAGTTTCTACGCGACTTATATCGGCAATTTATTCTTTACGATGTACTCGCGGTTTAAACTTACATAAAATGTTGGTAACATCTTTGATAATAGCGAAGAAAGGGCGGCTATTGATTAGAGTATTATGCATTATAAGTTTCTTGATATATAGGGTGTCCCTAACCATCCGTACAGGCCGTTTAAGAAAAAGTGAAGTGGATTTTATCAAAAAGCGCAAAAATTTCGATGAATAAATCGGGTACGCTCTATTGTATAATAATATTTTCAACTTCCGGTGCAGACCGGAAATGGGCTATCCAGATCAAAAGTTCAATTTTTTAAATGGAACACGGCAGTTTTCATTGCAGATTCGAATTCTCCGGCAAAAAATAAGAAACTTTTGTCCCAAACATTTTTTTCTAAAATGCCTCCATCGACCTTAAAATGATTTTTGAAGTGTGATTTACGAACAGGATGTAGCTAGATAGAAAATGGGCTATCCAAATTTGAAGTCAAATTTTTTGGATGAACATGGCACTTTTTATTGCAAATTTGTTATTATTTTAATAATATGGTTATAAAATGATAAATTGTAGTAACATGGTTAATAAACTTTATTAACGTAAGGGATTAAACATTTATTAATAATAAAAAATAAACTTTAACTGCATTTTTAGGCGACTATATATATATATATATATATATATATATATATATATATATGCGCGCGCGCGTGTCGCGGTGCCTTTGGGAAATATTATGCTACGCGTTTAATAAAAACCGGACTTTTTATTAAATGCCGTCCGATATTTTGCTCGTTAATCGACGCGTCTCGTATCCGAATCGCATTTTTTAAAGTCGGTGCTTAAGAATGTATCCTATACATTGAAGCAACATTGCAACATTGTAGCAACATTGTAGCAACATTGTAGCAACATTGCGGCAATGTTGCAAATGTTGCTGCAATGTTTTGTGCTGTATATAAAAAATAAACTTTAACTGCATTTTTAGGCGACTTAGCG